TCTATTATTTTCATTTTTTGGTGATACTGGGGTTTGAACTCAGAGCTTCATGCTTGCTAGGCAGGTGCTCAGCCATGTGGCTCAGGCTTCCAGCCTTTGCTCTGGTTCCTTGAGTTAGGATCTTGCTTTTTGCCCAGCTGACCTGAACTGCAATCTTCTTATTTACACATCCTGTTGCAGCTGGGATGCCAAGGCACACATCACAGTGACCAGCTACTGAGTGAGTTAGGGTCTCACAAACTTTTGGTCAGAGCTGGCCTCGAACCATTATCCTCCTGATCTCAGTCTCTTGAATAGCTAGAATTACCTGTATTAGCCATTGCTCCCAGATTCCCAAATCTTATTTGTATTTTCCTATATTTAGGTTATACTTCACTTCCTCTGATGGGTTTTTATTAAATTACCTACAAAGAAGTATTGAACAAAATTCAGTATGCCTTATGGGTCTTTACTAGAGTGAAGTCTATCATTAATTTTTTTTAAACGACAGAGGAAGGAGTCAGGTATAGCCCAAATCCTTTCTATAGGTCATATTAACTGTAACTATTTCTTGTGCAAACCCCCATAATTTCAGGACACAAAATTTCCAAGTATAAACATTCCTGATGGCTTATTTCTATTAGAATAATATTAGAATATTAGAATAAGTAGCTTCACAACTTTCAAGTAGCTAATAGGCACAACACCAGTAGTTTGTAACTCAGATGCACAAACCAAGTTGCCATCAGTTTACAGCAAATAAGGCAAAACTAGAAATGTCAAGATGAAAAAAACAAATCAAAAAGTAAGAAACACGTATCTCTACCATATTTTGCTGTGGAAATGTTAACTATATAAATATTCCTACTGAAGATAAAACTATAATACTATTTTAAAACACTAACTGTCAACTAGTGTTTCTAAATGGGGAAGCCATTCATTTATTTTGCGTCTCCAATTCCTTCCAACAAGCTGAAGAACGAATTTTTTATCGCCTAGACATTTTTCTTCGGGTTTCGTTAAAAGATAGGTCAAAAGGAAAGAGATGGCACAAAGTAAGCAGTGCTGGGAAACAGCGGAAAAAGAAGGGAAAAACAAAACCGGGAGACTTGAAAAATGCACAGAAGCAAACCCAGCGACCTCGTAAGTGGCAACGAGGAAAGAAAATGCCAGCTGCCTGTTCTTACTTGATGGCCTTCTGAGGCCGGGTAATAGGAGGATGGTAGCGAGGTGCCCACCCCGAGGCCGCTTCTCTGTCAACACAGGTGAGGGGCCGGGTCCTTAAGCTAAGGACATCTCTCCCCCCAACTCAAAGGGGAGGGATTCCTGGTGCTCTAGAGGACTAAGCTCCTGAGTCCGTCTCTGAGGAGCACGCACGACGACTGAGGACGACAAGCAGAGGAAAGGAATGTCGCTGCTCGGGCGAGCACAAAACCGCAGAGAGAGAAATGAGAGTACCTGTCTGCCTCTCCCGAATACCGACTGCCGCCGCCATCTTGCCTCCCACCATCCACCGCTGGGCTGGCGGCCGCAGCCCGAAGATGACGTGGCCGACCCCAGCGCCCCGGAAGCAGAGCCCGGAGGGGCGGGACCAGAGGAGGAGCCTGGAGCCGACCCCGCCTCCCTGCCACCCCGCCACTCTCAGAACTGCGAGGCCAAGCGGGGTTCAGGCCTGCTTTGGCACACCTGCCTTCTCAGACCATGGCACCTTTAAATCGATTCTTAGGGTGGCGTGGTCGTTTACCAAGCATGTACGTGGAAACAACAGCCTAGGGTCGTACGGTCCCAGGGCTGCGGTAAACCAAGCTTCAGAAACGAAGTGGAGCTTCCCAGCGCACCACTTTCCACTCCCTCCCTTTTGGGCAAAGCGGTCTAACTTTATGGTTTGCGCAGGGACACAGGAAACAGGAAGGTGCAAGATGGCAAAATTCCTCCTTCCTTTCAGTAATTACAAAATCCAAAAATGTTACTTTGGGGGAAGTTGGGCACTGTGCCGGTGTTTGTACACTACATGTAATTACAAAAAGAATTCCATATTGAGGATTTCTGTAATCCACAGATTTTATTGGATGCCAAAAATACACAAAGACAACACATTTCCCATATATTCAAAAAAGTTTACTGATAGACATCGCAGTTGCCGTTTACTGTTATGAAGCTACACCAAATTCTAAAATGAAATGGACTGTGCCTCAAAAATGTTTCAAAATTATATAAATGAAATCGTTATTCTAACAATCATTTAAAAGCCAATTCTATTTTATTATAAAATACTAACTTCTCTAATTCACAAATAAAGATGCTTTATCATTAAATTCAAAACATTATTTTTAACACGAATGTCGTAGCATGGAAGCTACATTCTTAATAATTACATCATCTCTTATTTTATAGCCAACTGGCATATCCATTAAGAGGCAACTGGAATACCTAAATATTTTCTTCAGTGTTATTTTGGAGGAATCTTCAATGATGTGTGTTTCTAATTAAACAAAAATGACAGTTCCTGCCTATGGGGAAATTATACTGCATTCTGTAGTGTCCATGGAATATAAAGCATAGACTTTCCCACCTTCCAATATATGAGAGCTCAATCTTATTCACTTGGATACTTCCACTTTTAAATGCAAATCATCTGGAAATGATTATTTCCACTCCATCACAGACTCCAAGACTATATGAATCATATTAACATAAAATACTAAGATAATGTTAACATCTACGTACAGTGTATGTGTATATAAAATAAAAACTGTCCTGGAATGTACACCAAGTGTGGACAATAATAAAAAATACACCCCACCGAACAACAGCAGCAGCAGTAGACAAATAGTCCTTGCAGGGCTGAGACTGAGTAAGCTATTTGTAGGGCCTACACTTGCTAGCTTGAGTCCCATTCATCTACCTATCCAGATTTTTGGCTTAAACCACATATGTTGGCAAGCTATTTTACATTACAGGATAGTTTTATCATAGAATACCCCAGAAGAGCTCATTTCTTGAGAGGTTCCTGGCTATCAATCAACAATTACTTACACAGGATCTTTCCAATGTACAGAGTAAAGGATCTTGGATCTTACACAGTTTTGTCAGAATCTTAACCTTGTTAGGAGACTAGGTGGTAAGAAGAGGGGACAAAAGGGTAATAGGAGGGGGTGAATATGGCCAAAGTATGTATATATATATATATATATATATTTTATATATATATAAAAAACTTGTAAGTGTATATATATATATATGAAAATGTAATGGAACCCATCATTTTTGTACAATGGTAAAAAAAGAGGAAAAGAAATACTTGGCATTAGAAAGAAAAAAGAATCAACCATAATCTAGTTTATATAAGCACTTCATATTTAGTGGTATAAACACATTTATTTAGAAAACTTTATTGTAAGTTCTCATGCTTCATGCTTTTTTGGTTGAATCATTTAAAAAGGAAGGAAAAATAGTCTGACACATAAACTGTCATTTTGCACAACACCTGACATTCAGTAGATATTAGAATGCTTGAAAATTGGAAAAGCGTCAAAATCAGAATTTGAAAATTCTGTTTCTTTGAGACAGTCCAAATTTTTCCTAAACTATAGGTAACGTATATTTGAGTATTTATCATTAACACGTGTTCTTATGCCTTGTATTACATTATTTGAAGCATAAAAATTAGTTAAAGGCTTATTGTAAAAGAAACAATGAAGTATGTGATAATCATTTTCTTATAGTAACAAAATCTAAAGGCAAAGTCATTGAGAAAACTTTCAAATTTCCCTCAGTGTTTTAGCAGAGGTTTAGCAGAAGTTTCAAAAGCTTCCATATAATTAGGGGGAAACTTATACATTAAATAGAAGAAAAGTGAATTCTCATGCTAGTAATCAAATGAAGGGTTTTTACTGAACCCAAACAAAGAACTGTTCCTTCAGAATAAAGAAACAAAATTACAAAGTATAAAATCATTATCTACTTTCTGATAATTTAGAAAATCCTCAGTTTAAATACTAAAACAGTAAAGTGACTAAGTACAAGAATGGCACTGTATAAAAGCCTTAAGATAGAAGTTCCCATGTTAAAAGGTTGAAAATCTGTCTTAAAACAATGAACATAAAACCAAACAAACCCTTCACAATAGATGAGTAGTCAATTTATGGTCTTCCTCAATATTGAGAGCAACAGAAAACAACCTTAAAATATATGGCCATTTAGACAATTGAAATACTTAAGAAATACATTTGCAAACTTACAAAGGTTTATAGCATAATAGCTTTTTAAAATTCAATGTAAGCATTGTGCTATAAAAATGAGTAGAAAAAAATCAATTATAATACCAACAACCTAAAATAGTAATATTGCAAAAAATAAGCAACAGGTTTCTCTGATATACCTTGACTATACAGATTGGCCCAAAGATCATACTAATGAAACAACCTTAAGCCAGAAGATATTTTGTTATCTGAATACTTACCTTAAGAGCTAAATATCATAAGTTACCACTAAGCATGCAAGAACAGGGAACTGAAATATTGTTTATAACCTTTGCTGCCCAAGCACATTGCTTCCCATGCTTACCCCAAACCAACAACATATGAGAGCGACAGTGCTTTATTGGCTTTGATAACTACTCTACAGGTACTTAAACTCACAAACCAGAAAACAGCACTAATTACATTTTTGGCATTGTATTAATTTGATGGCTTTCAAGATTTTATAAATCTAGGTAGGTTAAGCAATAAAATATCAGTTTGTAAACAAATTTGGAATAAAAGCAGTGTGGTGAATTTGAAGTTTATGTTATTTAAACTTTTTTGATAATTGATCCTTTCAATAATCTAACAAAATTAACATAAAACAAAGAAATGCCTCTATATTGCTAAATACTTAAAATTAAAGTAAAACTTTAATTTGCTAGTATATTACTTTTTTGTTCACATAACTTGAAATAACATGAACTAGCAGGAAAAACAGGATGTTTTAGTTTTCCTTTGGTGTTAAGAGATGTATTACCTATATAAAATTAATATCTATTTTTCTTTAAATATACCAATATTTTAAGTCTATTTCGTGGGGAGGATATGACAAATTGTTACTACCTGCTTTGTGTATCAAGAAAAATGTGGTTAAAACATTTTACCTCTTATAATAATTTACCGATCATAATGATTTTGTTAGTGTAAAACTGGGGCTTTATCTCATTTATAGTTGATAACAGATTAGGGACATTAGATTTTCCCAAGTTTTTCTTTTGTAATAGTGCAAATATGGGGACACAACTATGGGACTATATATCTTCAAATTATTTATTATATGATTTCTTGTTGCTTTTATTAGCATTAATATAGTTCAAAAATAAATCACTGCCAAGACAATGGTGGTACACACCTGTAATCCCAGGACTTGGGAGGGAGAAGTAGGGTGATGAGTTTGAGCGGTCAGCCCATGCTACATAGTGAGATCCTGTCTCAAAACCAAAACCAAACAGAAAACAAACAAACAAGACTGAAACTAAAACCAAACTCCCAAACAAAACCTTATAGAAAAGCTTACATTTTTTTCAGAAGAATATCCAGAAACACTTATCTCTGTGTTAGGGGTTTTTCATTCTATTTGTATTTCTTTTTTACTTTATTTATACATTGCTTATATAAAAACAGATATCATTTAGAGCAAAGAAGATAGCTGCATAATGCCATGGTACCAGCTTAACTATCATACAACTGTACTGATAATAAATAACTGTCAAAGAGCCAAGTCTACCACATGATAATCCACAGAGATCATTTGGACACCTAACATGATTATGAATCAGACATCCTGCAGACCACACAGGATACAGAAAAAAGTCCTGATTAAAACCAAGGCTTTGAAGAAGATACACTTTCTTAGGTATTTTAACCACCTTAGAAGTGTCTTCAAGCCTACTGAATGTCCATAGATTCCAGAATTATTTGTGCAATTCTGCTTCTTACTTAATACTTCTCATTAGGCATAATCTAATTGTATTATTGGTTATCTTAATATAAGTCACTGTTCTAAAAACATTTTTTCAATAATAATTTAGTGCCATCCCAGAAAAGCATACATATAATGCACACCCCAGAATATATGCCTCTGATTTTCAAGAGAAGATTTTACTAACTAGATTTTCTATTTAATGCTTTGAAGTAAGGGATATTTGAAAGCTGCATAAAACTAGAAAGATCTGGACATCCTATAGATAAGCCTAATTTATAAAAATAGTGAGTAAACAGTTTCTTATTATGTACCATGCTACTATGCCTGATTAAAGTCTGTACAAACATTTTAAAGTATTTATATTGTAGTTTATGAAGCATGTATATTAATAGAAAAATATCACTAATTTTTACTAGAATGCCTTAACCAAAACTTTTGTTTAAATGGCCAAAACCTTTATGCTCATATCATAAATTTTATTGGGCCAAGATGATAAATTTCTTCAAAAGTGATGATTAATAGAAACAAGGTTATCAATAGCAGCTTGTGAAGAAGCATCACTTTCTTCAAAGAAGCATTTTAATGTTCAATGTAGTGAGAACTTTCTTCCTTTTCTAGTCTTAGAGTGTCTCTTATGGCGAAGTCCATGTTTTCTTGAAACTTTGTATATGTACTGGTGATTGGCAAAGCTAAACAGTTATTACATTTGTTTCCAACAGGAAAATCCATATGTAGACACTCAATTGAAGGAGCGGGTTTAAATCCAGCAGGTGGAATAGAGCTGCAACCAGTTGCAAAAATAAGAATGTCTTCCAATGTTGTTGCAGATTTACCATCTGAAAAGTTTATCAATCAAATAGTTAAAAAGAAATCCATGTTACATACTGCTATCATCATAGACTCTTTCCCAGCTAGACTGGGGATACTGAAAGGCAAAGACTTCTACGTTCATGTCAAACTAAAACACTAAGTCAAACGTAATAACAGGCAAACAGTACATTCAACAAATGAATCTCAAAGTAGAAGGACTCAGAAAATCATTTAGTGCAATTATTCATCAGATATTTGACCTCTTCTAGATCACCACTAATTAATACACTAGTTTAAGAAATACAGATAATAAAACCTGAATGGTGAGAAAACAAATCTAACTAAAGTAAATTTCAAATAAGTTTTTTCTATTCTGCAAAATGGAATGATTTTACATTTCTAATGCTCAATAACAAATATTAGTGGCATAGTCCTAACCAGTGTTTAAAGAATAATCCATTTAAATTCAAATTGAAAAAGATGAAGTAGATTATTAGCTTTAACACTAGTCTATGCTGTGGAAATCATCCATACATTTAAAGATTTGAAGGAAAAATGCCTTTCATCTTAAATTATCTAGAGGAAAACAAACTGCAAAATGTAAATTTACTCAGTAACCTTTTCTTATCACTTCTAACTGATCCATTTATTCGAAATAAGTGGGGTTTTTGGTAAATATAGAGTTAACTGATTTAAGTCTTGCTAATAGCAGGGGCAAAACTCTAAGAAATAAATATGTTGAAACAAACATCCTGAGATAAATAAAAATAAAATATGCACATACCCTCAACATTCTGTAAATAACTCTTCCAAAACCCCAAAGCTTGTACATCAGGTAATGTATGTACTGTAAAAAGATCAGTAAGAATTTTTGCAGAAAGATTCTCAGGTTTATGACAGAGGATGTTATAAAATGCTTCTGGGTAAGTCTGAATTTTCTCCAAGACACCAAGAGTTTTCAGACCCTGCTTAAAACTTGAGAAGAAAAACAATGAGTCAACATTCAAACCTGTGTGTTTGATATTAAAGAGTTAACATTTGCGCTAAATTACCTAGCATTTTGCAACACAGCTGATTAAAATTTAACAAATCCAAAGAACTACCATATGTATTCAAATATGAGAAATAATAAGGACATATGATATGTTTTCAGATCTACAATAGGAAATATACTGAGTATTTGTGACTACATTACTTGGCGTTCCAGTCGTAAAATTGTTAACTAAAAGAAGTAAACAGAAGTATTTTATGCTTCAGAGCTACTGATTATAAAAGTGAAGTTTCCTAGCAAGGGTTAGGAGCATGGCTCAAGTGGTAGATTGTCTCCCTAGAAGTATGAGGCCCTGAGTTCAAATCCCAGTAAAAAAAAAAAAAAGATAAACCTTAACCACAGAAAATTTTGAAATGTTACATATTGCTAAAATGAATTTAACAAAGGGAAATATATTAATATGCATGATGAAACGAATCAATTTCTTAAATATAAAAAACAGGAAAAATACAAATCACAGATACCTCTAAATGCAAATTCTTATTAATACGCAAGAACAGGTTATCATTTTTGCCTATCAGATTGATTTTCTGGATTGTTTATCCTCCTTTCTCAGATAATCTGCTATACTGATTTATTTCTCCTTTCTATTGACTCTTTTTCAAGATAACCCAAACATGCTGCTCTGGTTAAATGTTTTTGATGCCCCCCAAGATTTATGTTGAAACTCAATCCCTAATGCAAACAGTACTGGGAGGTGTGGCTTTTCGAGAGGTCTAAAAGAAATCAGATCACTTCATTGCCAAAATCTGAACCATAAGTAAAAGTAAATGGCCCCAATTATTCATAAAATTGATATGCTAAATCCTTAAATGGTCCCTCTTCCCAATTACCAAGACCTATGAGTATCTTTTTCTGAAATATCTTCTATCTGCTGATTTTTATATATCCCTTTACAATGATCCTATTAGTGGAAACTGTGTACCAGGTATGTGAAGCTCCAAGTTGATATTCCATGCTGTAGCCACAGGGAGGTGCTAGCAATAAAACCTGACCTTTCATTCATCCAGAAGTAAGATGAATGGTGCTTTTCCTGTAACTGATTCCCTAGAACTTGTGAATGTTTTATTCAAATCTTTTACTTGATTACAGTTAAGATGAGATTAATTTCATTTTGAGATGAGATCATCCTACCTATATCGCTAGGCGGCCTCTAAATTCAATAAGCGTCTTATGAGACATATAAAAAAGAGACACACATAGAAGAAAAGGCCATGTGAAAAAAGGCAAAGACAGTAGTTATGCAATATAAGCCAAGTAATGCCTGGAAATGCCAGATACTAGAAGAGGCAAGAATGAACTCCCTCAATTTTGTAGAAAAAGTGAAGTCCTGCCAACACTTTGGTTTTGGATTTTAGGCCTCCAAAGCTAAGAGAGGATAAATTTCTTTTGTTTTAAGCCATTTAGTTCGTGATACGTTCTATGGCAAACACAGGAAAGACACATCCTGATGATGAAACAAAGCTCAAACTATTGAAATGGCTTCCAAGCCCCCATACTGTAACCCTTGCATTTCTTTCTAGCTTTCACTTTCTGTTGATTTCTGAAGTAAATTCCAGTCAAATTTAGGCTTGCCTAGTAAAAATCTGGACACATTAAAAACCCCGGAAAATAAAAGAAAACCATAAACTATCACACAATTTTTAAAGTTAATCAAATTTTTGTCATGTTTCCCAAGAATTTGTGAAAAATGACTTTTACCTGCATGTGGTAGCAAATGCCTATAATCCAGCACTCAGGAGGCAGAAGCAAGAGGATTGAGAGTTTAAGGCCAGCCTGAGCTACATAGTGAGACCCCATCTCAAAAAATAAAATATTCTACCCACTTGGCTAAATCCTAGGTTCTTACCACTTCTACTCTTCCTCACTCCCTTTTCTCCCTCTCTCTTTTTCTTAGTCTCTGTCTCTCTTTCTTTCTCTCTCAACATCCCCCAAATCGTCCTATCCTGTAATCTTAATGATAGTCTGCATTTCATTTTGGCTTCACTGTGTATGTACCACTAAGGAACACCTAGTTTTGTTCTGCCTGTTTTGGCACTTTGTACAAATGGTACCAAATGTGTATTTACTTTTCCATAACTTACTATTAAAGTAATTTTTACTTATTGTAAAGGTTCCTCTATCAGGAACATATTTCTGTTACTTCATTTGGGACAAATGTACTACCTTTAAACAAATGCTTTTTAAATCTTTGTCAATTTCTGTACTCACTGACCTTTTAAAAATTTCTAATTCACCCCATTTTTGTTTTTGTTTTTTGTGGAACTGGGGTTTGAACTTAAGGCCTTGTGCTTACTAGTCAGGCAAGTGCTCTACCATTTGAACCATGCCTCCAGCCTTTTTTGCTTTTAGGTTATTTTTCTGATAGGCCTAGCCTCACACTTTTCACTTGGGGCTGGCATAGGACTGTGATCCTCCTCGCTATGCCTCTTGTGTAGCTGGTATTGCAGCTATTAGCCACAATGCTTAGCTTATTTATTGAGATGGGATCTTGTCAACTTTTTGCTTAGGCTGGTCTCAAACACAATCCTGATCTCTTCCTCTAGAATAGTTTGGAGTACAGATGTGTGCCCACCATGTCTGGTTTATAAGATACTCTTTACCAATAAGGACATTTCAACTTTTCATTTTAAGGGTAAATTTATGCATTTTATTCCTAAATTGTTAACAGTAAAATTATGTGTCTCTCATTATATAACATAGTTTATCTTAAGGCTTTTCTCCATTAATCTATTTATGGGGTACATACAGTAAGATTTTTTAGCTGTTTCATTTTGCTTCCTTTTATAATGAAATTAAAAAAAATAAAAATGAATTGATCACTTTTGAGATGCTATCATTATCTGGAATTTGTCTGAAAACAATATTGGGTCAATAACAAGGAAACAGTACAGATGAACACAATCAGCCACATCATCTCGGTAAGTGCTAAATGTGGGTGGGGGTCACATAGGCTGCTTTCATGAATATGAAGAAAGCTCTGGAGGTACGGTTCACGCAGCACAGCACTTGTCTAACAAGCACAAGGGCCTGAGTTGAAACACCAGTATTGTCAAAAAAAAAAAGTAGACATGCCTAAATTCCAAATTTCTTTTAAGGATTATTGGAACAGAAAATCTGAAGACCAGTATTCTAAAACTAACGAAGAGCAGGGACCAGATCCATCCTGTTAACTGAAGAAAGGTCGGGTCTGTATTGTCCAGCAGAGGACAGATACTCCTTAAGTTGCTAAGTGAATGAGCAGAGGTGAAACAGTTACCTCATCTGGCAGTAGTTGTAAAATAATTATTTATTCAGAAAAATAAACACAAATAGACTAATTTTTTTCTGAAATGAACACATATATTCATTACCAAAGAAACTCACATTATAAGATAATTAACCACTTTAAACATGTAATTTGAAAGAATGTTTAACTTACAAACAAACGTTTTACCTTTCAAAGGGTGCTTGTACTCTCTTAATTACATGGTAGAAAAGTATGTCTTTTGCCAACATATATTTATCATTTAATGTTGTTACAAGTCTTAGACATCCAATAAGTTCTAGGTAGTTATAGCATTCATTTATTACTGAGTTCAAGTCAGCCATGTTTGCTGCAGTATTTATCTGTAACATAGGAGAAAACACACTCATTTTACCCATTTACTTGTGAATGATCCTTACACTTCAACTGACACATTCCTTTACATTCAATTTTTGAATAAATCAGGGTAGAAAGTTATACCAAAAAATATTTTCCTAGAATCAATCTAATTCAACAAAATATTGTACATTTCCACCTTCAAGACATCTACAGCATAAGGTCACTTTAATACAGAAAATTATTTATATAAAATTTATAAATGACATTTAAAAAGTTAAAAGTCACCTTAGAAAAGCAAGAGAAATGACTTGATATTTCATGAGAGAGTATCAGCTGATACTTAAAAGAGGATAAAATTTTAACAAGTGTATTTTAGTAAATAGCATAAAAAGGTGCCAGATACTTTCATATAGTTTGGCTCTTGACCAAAGATAAAGAGGATAAAATAGGAGTCCATGAATAAACCATTAATGGAAGATTTACTTGCTATTTCTTCTTTCCAAAACATTTTCCCAGAGATTTTCATGAATTTCCCATTTGAGCTCTCTGCTGAAAACTGAGAAGTTTGTCTTGACTACTGTGTTGAAAATATTACCTTTACACTGTCAGAAACTAACAGAGAGTCACCAAAGAATATAGAACGAGGACTGTTAAGACAACACTGAAAAGTGCCTAAGTTTCAATGTTAGAGAAAGCACAAGGAAGCATCAAGGAAGATATGAAAAGCAGAAGAAAGTGCAATATTCAAGAAAACAGTAGGAAAGAATTCTATGAATGTAGTGCTTGTAGAAACTGGAGAAGAGAGGTTAGAAAAGCTTCTAGATATGAAGATATAGATCCTGGGATATAAGCTATGAACAAGCTAACTAACTTAAGAGAGTAGTTGGAATTTTATGAGCATTGCAATGAATCTGTGGATTGCTTTTGGTAGTACAGTCATTTTCATGGTATTAATTCTGCCAATCCATAAACAGTAGGCAGTCTTTCCATCTTCTGGTGTTTTCTTCAATGTTTTGTAGTTTTTGTTGTAGAGCTTTTCAACTCCTTGGTTAGGCTTATATCAAGGTCCATACATGTCTATGTATGTATGTATTTACTTATGGACTGCCTTTTTTATCATAACTGAACAATATTTTATATATAAGTTTGAGGGTGTTTCATTTTACTTTTCTTCACATTTTTATTAACAATATCCAAGAAAAGTTATTATACCAATGTTCAACAAGGCTGGTAAGTGAACTATCATTGGAAATGTAGCCCATAGGTTTAGGTGGTTTTTTTTACATAGTTGAATTCGTCCCCCTCCATCATTCTCCTTTACCCTCCCCCGCCTCCTTTCCCTAGAATAGTTTCAACAGGTCTCATATTTTCATTTACATACATGAGTATATAATATTTCCACCATATTCATCCTGTTACACCCTGTCCTTAACTTATAGTCTACTGTGAATGGGACTGTCTTCCTGTTCATTCTTGGCATGCAGAATAGCTATTGATTTTTATATGTTGATTTTATGTCCTATTATATTTCCAAAAGTATCAAATGTAGGATTTTGGTAGAATCTTTAGTGTAGAATCAACCATATGCAAATAGGGATAATGTGACTTCTTCCTTCCCTGTATGAACCTCTTTTTATTTCTTTCTCTTGCCTTATTGCTATGGCTAGAAATTCCAGCACTAAATTAAATAAGAGCAGGGAAAGTGGTCACCCTTTGCCTTCTTGTTCCTGACTTTTAGAGGAATGGTTTCAGTTTTTCCCCATTCAGTATGATGTTGGCTGTTGGTTTCTCATTTATAGCCTTTATTATGTTGAGGTACTTTCCCTCTGTACCTAGTTTCTTCAGAGCTTTTACTGTAAAAGGATGTTGAATTGTGTCAAAGGCTTAATCTGGATCAACTGAGATGATCTTATGATTTTTGCCCTTTATTCTGTTTATATGCTGTATTACGTTTATTGATTTGCATATGTTGAACCACCCTTGCATCCCTGGAATGAAACCAACTTGATCATGGTATATGATCTTTTTAATGTATTGTTGAATTCACTATACAAGTATTTTATTGAGAATTTTTGCATCTATGTTCATTAAAAAGATTGACCTATAATTCTTTTTTTTGTTGTGTCCATGTCCAGTTTTGGAATAAGCATAATACTCATTGAATGAGTTTAGTAGTGTTCCTTCCCTATTTCATGAAAAAGTTGGAGGAGTACTGGTGTTACTCTTTAAAGGTCTGGTAGAATTCAGGAATGAATCCACTGGGTTCAGGGCTTTTCTTTATTGGAAGACTATTACATAATATAGCACATAGAGTACATAGTATGTACATATATGTATATATTACTATTATATATATGAATCTATGTAAGTGGTTTATATCCTCTCAGTTCAATTTTGGTGGGTCAAATGAAACTAGAAATTTATCCATTTCTTCTAGACTATTCAGTTTAATTGAATACAGATTTTGAAAGTATTATCTAATGATATTTGGACTTCATGGGTATTTGTTGTGATACCCCCTTTGTCATCTCTAATTTTACCAACTGTCCAGAAACAAGAGCAAGAATTGACAAATGGGATAACATCAAATTTAAAAGTTTCTGCACATCAAACAACAACAAAAACAACACTACCTGAATCAAGAAACAACCCACAGAATGGGAGAAAATCTTCACCAGCTATTCAACAGATAAAGGACTAATATCCAGAATGTACAAAGAGCTCAAAAAACTAAATAGCAAGAGAACAAATAATCCAATTTAAAAAATGGGCAAGTGAGTAAACAGACAGTTCTCAGAAGAAGAAATTCAAATGGCTAATAAATACATGTGTTCAACATTCTTAGCCATAAAGGAAATGTGACCCGAAACTACACTAAGACTCCATCTCATCCCAATCTGCCTGGCAATCATTAAGACAACAAACAACAAATGCTGGTGAGGATGCTGGGGAAAAAAGAAACCCTCATACACTGTTGGTGATACAACCACCAGAAATTAGCATGGAGGTTCAAAAACATAAGAGACCTACCTTATGATCCTGTTATACCACTCTTGAGCATATATATGGAGTGAAAAATCAATTCACAAGACAGATACCTGCATATCCATGTTTACTGAAGCTATGTTCAAAATAGCTAAACTGTGGAATCAGCAAAGGTGTTCATAACTGATGAATGGATAAAGAAAAAATGCTATATATATATCTCATATATATATCTCATGGAATATTAGTCTGCCATAAAGAAAAGATGGAATTATGCCATTTGTTGAAAATGGACGGAACTGAAGATCATCATGTTGAATGAAGTAAGCCAAGCTCAAAAAGCCAAATATTTCATGGTCTTGCTCATTCGTGGAACCTAGACCTAAGATGATGATGGTGATGATGACAATGGGGCATGAGTGTGAAACGGGGACAGCTTGAGGGGGGGATCAATAGAGAGGGGATGGGGAAAGAAAAGGACCAAAATATACTACGTGTATGTGTGAAGACAGAATAATGAAATCCACTAAACACTGTATAAAAAAGAGGACTGGAGGAAGGGAGAATGGAAATATAATGGAGAGGCAAGTATGGAGTTACCACAATGACCCCCCCCATATATTATTAATATACACTGATTCAAAATATAGTAAATAATAAATTTTTAAAAGGTTAAGAAAAGACCGAAAATAAACAATAGAAATATGAAGTTAAAGAACATTTTTTGGTAAAAAGATGAAAAAAAAAAAATGAAGAGTTAAGGGGGTCAATTTAAAGTAAGATTTTAGCTAGGCCTGGTGGCACATGTCCGTAATTCCAGCATACAGGAGGCTGAGGCAGGAGGACATCCAGCTCTATATTGGGCTACATACAGAGATATTATCTCCAAATAAATAAATAAATAAATAAATAAATAAATAAAATATGATTTTAAAATGAGCAGTCTTGGGCCAAATAAATAGAATTGTTACAGCACAAGATGGCATCTCACACTTCCATAGTGCTTAGTTTGTAGTTTAGAAACTGAGGCTTATCAAAACTAATATGCCCAGGATCATACAACTTACAATGGGATTCAAAAAGTAGCTAGCACTCAAAATAAAATGTCACTTCTAAACCTATGCTTTAAATCAGTAAACTAAGCCACCTAATAATTGGGACAATGGATAGAGATGCTAAAGTTAAGGAAAAGTTAAATGGTTTTTCCACCATCTCAGTTTCCAAACCAGTAACGTGGGCAATGATAGGGCATTAGGATTAATGAGTGTGACAATGAAACAGCACAGCGCTCATTGTAAGTGGTCAATAAATGGTAATTACTTTTAGGTGGGAGCATTGAGACCCCCGACTTGTTTCCATATGGAAGAAATTAAGCTTGGTTTCTCTCTCTACCTAGTACTCATATCTCCCTATAGGAGGAAGGACAAATATTTTGACTGGCAAGCCAAATCCTCCTTTTCCTCAGATCCACCTGTCTCTAGGAAAGTACACTTCACCTATTCATGCAATAGGGAACTTGCCTCACTCACATTATCTCTTGCAGGGTGGATAAATCCATTTAGTCCTGGCCATTTTGTCCACAAATCTAAGTCACATTATTATCACCTTTTTTAGTAACATTAAACCTGGCACTCTGGTCTCCAACTATCTGACTTTCACATTTTTTTTTTTTAAGGCAGGGTCTGACTAAGTAGTCTAGACTGGCCTTGAACTCATGATCTTCCAGCATTAGCCTCCACAGTGCTGTTATTACGGGTGTGTGCCACCATCTGAATTCTGCTGGGAGAGACATATTATATGCTGACAATCCCAAACTACATCACAAAGAGTATTACTCATCTATTATAGGTCAATCATGTATATTGATACATCTAGAATGTAAGCTATATTTTAATAAACAGGAATGTTTCTTACCCTGATTATAATTTGTGCCACATCAAAGTCTGAAACATCGTCCAAAATTGGCTGGGTATTTTCTGGTCCATAAACAAGGCAGTTAAACAAGGTTTTAGAAAAGAAACCAGGTGAAGGACCACCATGAACCAAAGAAATGGCAAGCATTTTGCCAGCTTCATAGTAAAGATTTTCTTTAAGAGCTGTAAATACAGACGATACAGATGAAAATACATTGACTATACTTCTCTTATTATAAAATAAGCATCTTTTTTTTTGGGGGGGAGGTTAGCTTCACACTTGCAAAGCAGATATTCTACTGCTTGACCATACCGCCAGTTCATTTTAGAGATGGGACCTCATGAACTATTTGCCCAGGCTGGCCTAGAACCATGATCCATTGATAAATCTCAGACTCCCAAGTAGCTAAGATTATAAGGCATGAGCTATGGGCACCTAGCTAAAATAAACATCATTTTATCTTTTTCTTTTGCAGTACTGGGCTTTGAACTCAGGACCTCACACATGCTCAGCAGGTGCTCTAGCCACTACGCCAGCCTGATAGCCTGATAAGCATCATTTTAAATGAAAACATATATAATTAAAACCAAACCCTAAAACTCTTAAGCATTAGACAAAGGTAAAACAATAATCATTAAAAGCTATTATCCTGTATGTAGATCTAAAATATATAACAGATATATTTTTTCTAAATGTAAAGTAATAACCTATTGTAGAAAAATTGTAAATACAGAAAATCTTAGGGAAAATTCTGAAGCATCTGTAATCATACCATAATAATAATTTTAAATTCTTTGGTATATTTTTGTCTATATATAAATACATTCATGAATAGTTTGATCTCTGCCTTTGTTCCACATACAAATTTTTTATACTATGCAAAGTCCCTCAAATTTCAAGTTAGTGAATGCACTAAAACTAGAGATACACTACAATGCCGACCATTTCCCCATTACTGGCTATTCAGTTGAGTGACATTTTCAACTATGAGATACAATATTATAATCAACATCTACCTACATCTGAGTATTTATAGGCCAAAGGATATATACTTTGTCAAGGTTCCTGGCATACATCATTTAGTTCATGCCCAGTAGTATAATTACACCACCCTCCCAGTTTTAACTATTCTTGAAAATGCTATTCAAAATGTTTTGGCAACTTTAATAGATCAAAACGGTATATAAATTTTCCTGTTAATTGTTCAAAACAATTTATTAAGAAGTAACATGTATAATACTTCAACTTATAATAAAATCTCTTCCCCAATGACCTTTAGTTACATTTCACAGATGAAGAAACAAAGATTGGTGTGGGTGATCAACTTAAGGAATCAAAGCTCTTGAAGTAGATGTGTACAAACCTGAATGAAGATTTTGTGATTTTTAAATTCAGGCAGTCTCCAATGTACCAAAGCTACCCTGAGTTAACATTACTGATTATTTGGGAATTTTTTTTCTTTAAGGGAATTGAGAACTAAGCTGCATATATTAATACAGTAAAAATGAGGCCTTAGGCAATGGTGAGGAAATTCTAAGGAAAAAACAGAGGAAATTTGAAAGGAATAAGCCTTCTTACACTTTTTCAAATTTTGTATTATAGAGAAAAAGTGATATAAAAGCTCCTAAGAATGCTAGAATTAGCCATTGTTTAGAGATGTCTGTTTTAATGGAATTAAGTCCCTGCCAATAGTAATGACAGAAGTATATATACAATTGTCAGAAGAAAATTCTTTTAAACAAAGTCATTAAAATGTTACACATGGACCATACAACTGTTTTAATTCAAGTCCCACGATGTAAAGAAACATGGGAAGACAAAATTCCAAATATATGAACTAGAAGAGTCCAAATAATCATCTATCCCATGTGGCCACTCTACTCAAGTGAAATTTGAGTGAATGGAGTTTAAATAAATTCATACTTAATTATGAAATAATCTTAAGGGTATTGCTATAAAGTATATATATTCTTAAACTATGCCTAACCACAAAACTTATAAAAGTATCATCTCTCATCCCCCTTTGCTGTACTTTACTAACACTAAATTATATATTACTAAAATAAATTATATATTTAGTTTGCATTTAATGAATATTAATTTTAACCAGCTATTTCTTTTTTATATATGCTATCTTCAGTATGTACATTAATAATAAAATACTTACCTTGAGAATTCAGAGACAAGTTCTTTGACAAGGACCCTTCAAACAATGAAGAGTTCTCCAGATGTTGCATTAAGAGACTCAGAAATTCTTGCCTTGATCCAGGATGTTCTCTTCCAAAATTATCATTTTCATTAACATAGACTACTTCGATTGTGTATGAAGGATTAAAGTTTTGGTTTTTGAACCCATCTAAGGCACTATTCCAGATATTGGTTTTGTTGATATATAATCTTTTAGTTATTTTTTTAATTTGGAATCCTAACTCTATCAGTATGGTTGAAATATCTCTTCTAAACTTGCTTCCTTGCCTATAAAACATGAATTTAAACATAGAGTACATTACTGTAAAGTATTTTATGTGAAACAGCAGTTATACAGATAAGAAAAGAGAAAAAGAGTTTGAAGAGAAATTCTTTCCCAACTGTTGCCCAAAAGAGGAATGGCTGCTATTGGAACCAAAAACATTTATTTGATTACCATACTTTTAAATTCTTGATTTCTCACCCCAATCTTCTACCAAATTAGAATCATTTATAAGAATGCTAATAATCTCAAATTTGATTAATTTGGTGGACTTAAGTTTAAGAGTCAGAAACTCAAACTCACACTTCCTGGGCCAGTAGCTAAAACAACCTCCTTAACTATATTAATACTGTATTGTTAATAATAAAATTATAACTAACAGTACAGCTAATATTATTAACAGAATTCACAATCCCTTAAATCACATCTTTCAGTCTCTACCAGTTATTTTCAATGTGATCCTAGACTAGCAGCAGCATCACCTGGGAACTGTTAGCCATGCAATCAACTGAACCCATAGCACGTCTATGCAATCATAACCTCTGTGTTCAAACAATCCAGATAGATTGTATGGACTAGCTCAATTACTCTCTATCTCAGCATCTTCTTCTGCAGGTGGAATTGATGTTCTCATTGTACAAAGATCATCTTTTTATACCAAGTATAAATTTGTCCCATCCTAAGACATTACAAGGCCCCATTATTGTCCAGACTTTGCTTTTTCTTTTTTCATACAATCAGAGTAATTCATTAACCCAAGTAGAGGAAAATCAAAGTTACACTTTATTATAGCAGGTTGACTCCTTGCTCCCACTCAGATTCTTCTAGAATATGATTTTGTGTTAAAGCAGGAGCAAGAAGTCAACCTTCCCCGGTGCAACATCTTTGGAAACCTAAACACTAAAGTTATTTCAAAGTAACATGAACATTTTTACATAAAAAGCATTTTAACAAATAATTATAGGTGAGATTATTCAGTTGCGTTAACAAAAAGTGGCATTTTAAAACAGTAATTCTAAGGGCTGGTGGAGAGGCTCAAGCAGTCAAGACAGCCTTGCCCAGCAAGCATGAGGCCCTGAGTTCAAACCCCAGTGGTACCAAAAAAGAAAAGGTAATTCTGCACTTTTTGACAAGTATTTAATATTCTACTTGTCTGAAAATTGAATTATCAAATGTTTTCACGACAATTCTCTTTCCCATCTTACAAGTTTGTAAACTTAAAACTACTTTTTCACAAGAAAGTACTTCACCATGCTTAGCTACTAATGTTACTTTTCTACTTTTTTTTCCTACTAGATAAAGTTAAGGCTCTAAACTCTTTTAGAGCCTTAACTCTTTTAGAGCAAAATTACATAAACTTAAAATTCATAACTACAACTGGACAAACACCTGATGTAGTATAAAAATGTAATAATACTAGTCTTGTTTAAATGTTTATGAATGATTTTAAAAGTTACCTATCTTGCTATCTGTGGAAACAGTTAAAAATTAGTGTAATAATAGGTATGCCTTAAATGTTCTAAAGAGAAATGTTGACATTTAGATTTCTGATACTGACTATGTTAAGCAAGTAATGATTACAACTTCAAAAACTAGGCTATCTTTATGCTAAATAAGACTCCTTCCTTCTAAAAAAGGGACATGGGGCCGGTGGAGTGGCTCAAGTGGTGGAGAGCCTGCCTCCCAAGCATGAGGCCCTGAGTTCAAACTCCAGTACAGCCAAATAAATAAATAAATAAATAAATAAATAAATAAACATGGTATACTTGATACTTTAATTTCCTGTCTCATTCTATTATCAAATAACATTATACAGACATTTTCCAGAACAGTGTTTCTCATACTATCTTGAGAATGATCTATGATAAAAACAATTTTACATTATATATAACTCACTAGCATATAATAAGGTAAGTAAAGTTGATTTTACATGCTTTCTTTGAATGTGCAATGTGATCTGACATATTGCATTCAATATTTTGTCCCATTTGTTTATTATTATTTGTTTTTAATGCTAGGTACATGGATTTCATGACCAAATGTTGGGTTTCCTAAATTACTGCATGATCAGCTAATATTCTCAGTGTGTATAGCACTTTCTGTCATTAATTTTCTCCATTGATTTTTCTATTTTTCTCAAATTCAAAATACACACCTCAGTAGATCTTTACGCTGAGTTCCAGGTGACTGTCTGGGCAACTTAGGTGACGACTCTTCCAACAAACAATCAGTAATTGCCATATTATTAGAGTTGGATAATGAATGCTTTTTGGCTTTTTGGAAATCTGCAGGTTTAAATCCCATTATTACGTTATTAGAAGTACAGGAAAAAACTTTTTAATTAACGTGAATTTGAATAAAAACATTTTTTATTCAAAATTACAAACTATTACCTGAATTGTAGATAATACTTCGACATTCCAAACATTCCCAATTTTGTTCCCATGATCGTAGTGAGGAACAGGCTAAATGTGTTCCACTAGAACCACAACACTGACAGCGTTTTATTTCCCATTTGCTGAGGGCATAAAAAAACCACATGCTTATGTTTTGATACAAATGTAATCTAGTTCCGGCCATCAGCAATGACACAGGCCTTACCCTCTGCCAAATACCTATAACTAACCCTTTTATACCACAGGAGGGAAAACAGATTGTGCCTTCCTTATTGCATTACTTTTTCTATTCCATTTAATATTTGTGACCATCTCCTCTAAATACCACTTACTTAAAAGGCTAAACTAATATGAACACACACACACACACACACACACACACACACACACACGAAGAAAATAAAACATCTGAAAGGTTCAGGATTAAGGAGAAAAATATTTTCCTTTACACATTTGGATAACTGCTCATAGGGAAACTACTGGGTCAATGTGTCTGATATGGAAGAAGCTTTCAGTAAATTTCAAGGTAGGGAATATTTCTGGAGATAGGTTGCTTCAACACTTTAGGCAGTGTATAACATGACAGGGTCCAAACTTCATACCTGGCTCAAATTCATATCCTCTCATCTGTTCTCTGCTCTGTGTTTCCGCATTGTGAGCTGTGAAATTTGACAGTCCATGTTCATATTTTCTGTGTCTGGGTATGAGTGTGGGTTGCAGTGTTGAGGCACCCTCTGCTTTGTGTAGGTATGAGTAGAACATTCTCTTTGCAGAGAAACAGATACGGCTCCCTGAGTGTGTGGAAATGTGGGTATCAAGACAGGTAGCTAAAGACTCCTCCACTGCTGCTGTAGGTATGAATATAGCAACCCTCTGAATATGAGCATGCAGGTGTATATGTGTCTGCCTCTGTCTCTTCCCCAGATAGTTCTACCCACCGGTGATGACAAGAAGATGACAGCTAACATGTTTATTATGCACTAGAACTAATTCTTATTTTTTTTCTTTTGGCTGTACTGGGGTTTGTACTCAGGGCCTTGCGCTTACCAGGCAGGCACTCTTATCACTTGAGCCATACCTCCAGACTCCCCAATTCTCAATCTCTACATAAAAAGATCAATCCTTAAGAGTTTAGAAGGTAGGGAGAACCAGTGTTAACCTCATTTTTAAGAAGAGAAAACCTAAGCACAAAGGGGTAACTTGCCCAATCAAGCTCACACTGGTTATGCCTTGGAGTGAGGTTTCCAAGCCACTGGCTACAGACTCATGCTGCTAGCCACTATACCATGTTGCCTTTCACCAATACTCCCTTCTTACTGGAATAACAGGGAGTAAGACTATGAAGGAAACATTCAGATAGCAGATACCCATGTTCCTGGCAGATATTTTGCCAGGAAGGCAAAACATGATAGTAAACCAAAAAAGTAACTTCTGAAAAGTAAAATTTTGTAGCTACTAATTGGGTGATTGATCAGTGAGTTAATTAAGAGCAGCCTAGAATGAACTAAGAATATCATCAATATTAGTGAATGTACTGCTTCTAAGAACTCATATACATACTCTTGCCTGTGCCTGACCACATCTCTTGAGGTAGATGATAGTGCTCACAAATAAATAATTAGGGACATTAGCTCAAGTAACATGGGCAGGAACACATACCACTTGATACCTTCAACAATGCCAATGCTATTGCAACTAGCACAAGGAAGGAAATCTGTGGCCCACAGTGGGGAATCAGAAGTGGGAAGAGCTGTTGAAGGGAAATGTTCCAATGCTGGCCAGATCTTAGTTAATTCTTCACATATTAGTAGGTGACCCAGCCAAATCACTTTGCATGACAAACAACGTTCCCAATATTCTGCTCTGCACTATAAATTTACTATGTTAATGAAGATGACATAATGGGATTAAGTATTTATTGAAATTTCCTACATAAATTACCACAAAACTGGACTTGTTAACTTTTGATCCTACATATTAAATGAAGGTACTCCTGATTCTGAGGGCCATATAGTGTACTTAAAAGGCACTGAAGAAAGCTGGGCACCGGTGGCTCATGCCTGTAATCCTAGCTACTCAAATGGCAGAAATCAGGAGGATCACAGTTCCAAGCAAGTCTGGGCAAATAGTTCGAGAGACCCTATCTCAAAAAATCCCAACAAAAAAGGGCTGGTGGAGTAGCTCAAGGTGTAGGCCCTGAGTTCAAGTCCCACCTTCCCCAAAAGTATAGCAGATATCTATTAACATTACAAAAGAGTAATCAATAAATTTCAAACGTCAATCCTTTTATAGTGTCCAAAAGAAACATTAGTAGATTGATGTGGCTAAATTACCTTCTAGAGCACTACTGTCCAATAGAAACTATACATGCAATGTATACATACAATGCAAACTATACATGTAATTTAACATTTTCTACTAATCACATTTGAACATGTAAAACAGAAACAGGCAAATTTACTTGAATATATTTTATTTCTAAAATATTATTATAACATATACATTATATATTATTAGTAATATTATGTATTATTATTATTCAACATGAAAATGATAAAAATTATTAACAAGGTATTTTAAGTTCTCTCTTTAACATGATTATGGGCTGAACTGAGCCCCCACAAAGCACATATTTAATTAAGTATTAATCCCTTATATCTCAAAATATGACTATATTTGGAGATAAGACATTAGGGTAAGCCCTAAAATCACGTGACTGATATCCAAATATATTAAAAAGAGAGATGAGGGAAGGATTCAGACAAACAGAGGGAAAACCATGAGAGGACGCAACTAAAAGAAAGTCTTCTACAAGCCAAGGAGAAAGGCACTTTGATCTTGGACTGCTGCTGGCCTCGAAAATTGTGAGAAAATAAATTTCTGTTGTTTAAGCCACATAGTCTATGGTATTTTGTTATGGCAGACTAGTGAATTAAGTCTATGGCATGTACTTTACATTTACAGCACCTTCTCAATTTATAATAGTCATATTGCGAAGACTCAATAGCCACATGTGACTAACAGCTACCATATAGAACATTGTTGCTCAGGAAAACAGAAATAGGTTACAACTACATGGACTATAAAAATTTCTCTGCAAACACATATAATTATATATTTAATAAATATATTTCATCTCAAGTTAAAACTTCAACACTCTCAGAGTAAAACTATGATTCACTAACTACAAAACCCACTCTCTCAGTGAAAGTTTAAATAAGAGACCACTAAATGTAATTCAACTTCCAGAAATACCTATTAGGTGCATTATAGTCTCGTCCTTCTTTGCAACGACATCTTCGAACATCACAACGCTCATAGTGCTGAAGAAGCTCTTGATAAGCATTTTCCTCTAATTCCCAGGATGCATCTCTATCAGTGAAGTAATACACAAAATAATGCTTTGACTCAAAATGTTACATGAAGAGGTAACTTGGAAACAAAGATAAAACTTGTGCTTTTTAGGCTCTTCTCTTCAGTGTCTAAATTCATTATGTTCTCCAGTTAATTACCCTCACAGAGATTTTCCACAAATGTGAAGTGGAAGGTTAAGCAGAAATTTTCTAAACTTACATTTTTCTAATATTTCACTTTCAATTTTTTTCTGTTGATTGATTGATTGAGACAAGGTCTCACTATATAGTTCAGGTTGACCTTATACTTACAATACTCCTACCTCAGTCTCCTGGCTCACCTCAAACTTGCAATACTACTACCTCAGTAATCCTGAGCGCTCAGATTACTGGCATGCACCAACACACCTTGTCCAATTTTTAATTTCGAGTTTACTATCACTGTATTTCTGGATTCCTCATCTTAAAAACATTAACATTCTTATCACTCATTTTAAACCCACTATGGTTCTCTTAGATAATTTATAATTACCACTTTAAAGACAATGTACAAATCAATCAAAATTGGACTCAGCTGAGGTACTAAGAGACACTACATCAGTAATAAAACATTTTCAAAGCAGTTCTGCACTCCAAGACCTCTTGATCTGGAAGGACAAGGCAGCACATTTCACCATTTGAAACAGCTCTTTTTCCATGATCACTTAATAGACATAAGTGGTTATTTCTAATGTTATTAAATCCCACACTTAAATTACCTACCCCACCTTTGTCAAAAGGCTAAATGTTGGGTTGGAAGTGTGGCTCAAGTGGTAGAGTGCCTGCCTAAAGAGCACGAGGTCCTGAGTTCAAACTACAGTACTGTCCCCACACAAAGGCTAAATATTACTCACTTTTCAGGAATATGAATTCCCATTTTCAACATCTCTTTCTGGAAGATATCACTGTTATTGCATATTGTACACCTAAAGAAAAACACTCCTGCATTTATTGCTTGAACCTATAGTGGAAAATGGAAAATCTATTGTTAACAATGTAAGCCTATTTCCAGGTTATGAATTTTATAACTAACAAAGCATGCTCTATTTTTCAATTAATATATTATGAAAATAACTGCCATGTCAGTGGTTCCCAAATCTTATAAACTAAGTTACTGCTAAAATCTGGAGAGCTTTTTCTAAATTGTCAAAAAATTAAAAAAGCAAAAATCTAACGAACAAACAGTTCTTAGCATTACATCTATCATCCATATATGTTTCTCAACTTTTGATAATTAATATCATTCAGTTCCTAAATATTTTGTTCCTTACACTATGAGAAAAACAATGAAAATCTTCAGTTACTTCATTTAGCTAGAACATTTGAGTGTTACATATAAATTATTACTGGTTCAATTTTTAACTTAATCTAAAACTCCCAAAAGGAAAGTATAAAATCTGTTCTTAATGCTATATCAAATACAAATAAAAAAGCTGAAGACAGGACATTCAAAGCCTATTACAAAGAATAGCATTCCCCAATAAAAAACTAGCACACACTCATTTAAAAAATATTTAACTTCTATTTTATAGGTGCTAAACATAATGCTATGTACCAAAAATAGAAACATAAAAGGACTTAGATTCAATTTTAAGGAATTCTATAAGTAGGTATATAGGCACACAAGTATAATATTGTATAAAAGTTTTTATTTTTAAGAAGTACATGCATGGAAGAAAGAAGAAGTATAATGAAAAATGTCACAGGGATAATGAGGTCAAAGCTAAATTTGGAAGAAGAAAAAGACGTGTGTCTGGAAAATTGGATGAAAGACATTCCCAAGGATAGGAAATGTCATAAATCAAGTGTCTGTGGCAAGACAATGACATGTAAATAGGAAACTACAATTAATAATATATTTAGGAAGTACATTCTGGCCATAATGAGGTTAGACAGGTAAATCAAAGCCAGAAAAAGAAAAGCCAACATGAAGAAAAAAAAAAATTGATAGGAAATAAGACAGTCAAGGAGAAAGTTTTTTCTACAGAAAACTGTCTAAAGTTAAAAGTAGCAAGAGTATAACTACAACAGCAAAGGATACACACACACTTATTAGGTACTTGGGAGAATGGTTTGTGAATTGTAAATAAAGAAGTGAATAAAGAGGATTTCAGGTTCAGATAGCTACTAAATGCCAAGTATGTGCATACGTGCAACACACACAGATTAAGGGAGGGAAGCAAAAAGTTACTGAAATAGCTGAAGCTATATGAGATTTGAAAAACTCACACAGATGCTGAGATCTTACTAAACACAGGATATAACATAAGGTAGTTTCTGGTATGGAAGAAAAAAACAGTATAGTACATATGGAAGATACTAAAACAAGATCAGAGCAATGATGGAGAAATCTAAACTGAACAGGAATAGTGAAATTCTGGAGATACAGAGCAAAAAGTTCTTACCAATTCTTTTGATGCTAATCTCTAGCCTCTCTCAACAAAATTCAATATAAAGTGCTTGCAGCAGTCACAAATAATGACATTTGTTTAGCCACATATCTATCTAGAGTGTGTAGATTTCATATACGTCAATTAAAATTCTGGTATCAAGGCTGAAAGTATAGCTCAAGTAGTAGACCACTTGTCTAACAAATGCAAAATCCAGAGTTCAAAACCCAGTACCACCAAAAAACAACCAAAAAAACTCTGAATTAAAGTGGAAAATCCCTAGGAGAGCCATCTAGGTAAAGAGACTAGAGAATTAGCCCTGTTTGAGCATTCTCTAGTCAACTAATAATTGCTTATTGATATTTTAACACAGACCTGCATCCATGTGACAGGTATCCAGGATTCTAAATTGATTTGCATACAAGGTTTTTGTTGTGGTAAGAGTATTTCTACTTTTTAAATGACAGAATTCAAATTCAGTTTCATCAGAGTGTTAAAAAAAAACCAAAAACCCTGCAAATACTAGGTCAATTTGGAGAACCTTTCTTTGCTTCATTATTAACATATAGATGAGGCAAATCTTATTTGTCCTAAAAAATACTACACTATTATAAAATTGACACAGTGAAGACTTTGGTAATAATTATATTCATTCAAATACAAATCTTCAATTAAGAAAAATTACTTTTTAAAGATTTTCATGACCGTCGTCACCAGCGGCACCCTCGCAGGGGGCCAGGTCCTGCCGCCGCCCACCCGCAGCTGCGCTGGCGCATGGACGGTTGTTCCCTGCAGAAGCTGCCTGTGCACATGGGCCTGATCGTCACTGAAAAGGAGCAGGAGCCCAGCTTCTCAGACATCACCAGCCTCGTGGTGTGGTGTATGGCCGTGGGGATCTCCTACATTAGCGTCTATGACAACCAAGCCAGCGCAGAGAATCTCCACTTCACGTTAAACGGAGAAACAAGGAGGGCCCCTGGGCCGCCAGTCGCTGGGGCCCAGACGGCTTGGGAAGACGTGGACCAGGTGAGCTTCATGGTACCGCGGTACTTCCACAGACAAGCCTGGGCCAGAGCAGCATAGCCCCCTGGACAGACTGACCGCCACCCAGGGAAAAAAGAGAAACTGAGTAATAAGCAATGAGAGCAGTTAAGACACGCTGGAAAGAGGGTGGGGCGCCCTGAGCGCTGAAGATTGGGGGAAGGGAATCCTTCCCAGGACTGTAAATAAACAAGCCAGTGGGCAGGAGAGCCTCTGGTGGGAGCAGGAAAATTTGAGAAAGTGGCGCAGGGAAGAAAACTCCACAGGAGGAGGGAAAACCCACTTCCCACATGAACTGTAAACAAACATGGTGGCTGGCAGGAGAAGCAGCACTGCCCAGTAATCAGGAGCAGGAAAGCTTCTGAAAGTGGCGGTGGGAGGAAACTTCACAAGAGAGTTACATACATGAACTGTATGTAAATAAACACGCAGGCCTGACAACGCGGGTGCAGTGTCACCTTTCCCAGTGCTTGGAAAGGGGAAAGCCTGTAGCAGAGGCTCCCGCACAGGAGAACTCTGAGCAAACAAAGCCTGCAGGGCCAGGTGAGTGCTAAGCTCACCCCAGAGATCTGCATAAACAACGCCTCCAGCAACAGCAGGCTGACAGAAGCGGGCAGGCAAGCCACAGCTGCAGATACATTTCTCAGTACTGTCTCCAGACTCTTTTCTTTTCTTTTTCTCCCTACCTTTGATGAGAGAACAACCGAATTACACCTGCAAGCAGAAAAACTAACTGAAACTGTATTGCATTTGAACTTGGGACACTAGGTGGGATTTTTTTGGTGTGTGTGTGTGTGTGTGTGTGTGTGTGTGTGTGTGTGTAGTTTTCTTCTACTTTATGCGTCCCCTTTGATGAGACAACTACAAAACAACATCTGAGGCACCATCTCCAGGATTGGGGACTGAGACGAACACCAAATCATTAAGATGGAAATTTCATTGCATTTGAACTTAGAGGGCTTTTTGTTTTTTTTTTTTAAATTTTCTATTTTCCATTTTATTTTAATTCATTTTTAATATATAGATATTTCTTTCATTTACTTAATTTTTATTTTTAATCCTATCTTAATTTTTTTTTTCATTTTTCAATCCTATCTCTGTCCCTCAGCTTACTGTCAATTACTACACTAACACTCCCTCTTTATACCTTTGAAACTTTCTTGTCTGAAACCTTGTTCTGCTTTCTCTCTCTTGTCTGTGTATTTGTTTTCCCCTTTTCTTTAACTTCTTGCTTTCCATCTCAGCTCACCCTTCCATTCTAAATATTAACATTGTTATTATTACAAGCTAGAAAATACTTAATTGCACACAGTTCAGGGACAGTAACAACACCAAAGACAATGACGGGAAGACAGAAAAAACAGGGAAACCAGTATCCCCACAGCAAAAAATTACTACAGGAACAAGAGGGGAATGAAGAAAACAGAAACTCAGATCCAGACTCCAACAAAATGAAGATGAACTACACCAAAGGACCCAATGAAGCCCACAAGAATAATTTAAAAGAAGACATATTACAAGTACTCAATGAGAATTTTATAGAGATGATACTGGATAGGGTCAACCAAAATGTACAGGAGACACTCACGAAATTCCAAGACAACAAAAATAGAGAATTTGAAAAAGCAAAAGAAGAAAAGGAAACCATAGAAGCACTGCATAAACACCAAAGTGAAAGAGAAACACGATGAATAAACAGATAAATGAACTCAGGACAAAAATTGACATTAAAGAGGAAAACAGCCAGGATAAGGAAAACCTCAGAAAAAAGAACGAAACAGAACTGCAAAACAAAACGGAAGGCCAATCCAGCAGAATAGAACAAACAGAAGACAGAATCTCAGAACTTGAAGATGAAATAGTAATTAAAGGAAAAACTGAACAACTATTAATTAAACAACTCAAGACCTGTGAAAAGAAAATGCAAGAACTCACTGACTCCATCAAAAGACCAAACTTGAGAATCATGGGCATCGAAGAAGGAGAAGAGGTGCAAGCGAAGGGAATGCGTAATATATTCAACAAAATAATAACGGAAAATTTCCCCAATCTAGAGAAAGATATTCCCATACAGATGCAAGAGGCCTCCAGGACACCAAAAAGACCAGATCAAAATAGAACTACTCCACGACATATCATCATTAAAACAACAAGTTCAGAAACTAAGGAAAGAATATTGAAGGCTGTAAGAGAGAAAAAACAACATACAAACGTAAACCTATCAAAATCACAGCAGACTTTCTCAACAGAAACATTAAAAGCAAGAAGAGCGTGGAGTGAGATGTTCTGGGCACTGAATGAAAATAACTTCAACCCCAGGATACTCTACCCAGCAAACTATCATTCAAAATAGATGGAGCAATAAAAGTCTTCCATGATAAGCAGAAACTAAAACAATATGTGACCACAAAGCCACCACTACAAAAGATTCTGCAAGGGATTCTGCACACAGAAAGTGAAACCCAACTTAACCATGAAAAGACAGGCAGCACCAAACCACAGGAAAAGAAAAAGCAAGACAGTAGAGAGT